CAAGGGCCTGAGTTCAATCCTTGTTTTCGCCACACACACAAAAAAGAAGTTACTTAAAGAAATGCTGTGAGGGCCAGCCAGATAGCTCAGCAGATTAAAGCGCCTGCTGAGGCAGAGCGTGGGGTCCAGGGTGGTCCTCGGCGGCGCCACAAGTGGCGCTGGCCCTGCCCCCGTGGTGCACTGAGACTGTGATTGAGACTGGACAAGGTGGCACTCGCCTGTAACCCAAGGTCTTGGGATGCTTACAACAGGTAGATCAATACCAGTCCAATCTATGTAGTGAGGCTCTGTAGACCCTGTACTAAATACAATAAATAAATAAAAATAAAGAAATGCTGTACTGTTCTGTTGTGTGTCATAATTCATCAGAATGCACCTGGCACCCCTACCAGAATGAAGTTGTCTGCGGGGTAGATTCGAGTTGGGCTTCGTCCTACATGCCCTGTTTAGTAAATATCTACAGACAAAAAACAAACAACAAAACAAAACGTCTGCCCCACTGCTGAGCGGCAGCTTTGCTTGGGAAATCTGATCTCGCTTTACCTATCAATAAGTAAGTGAGTCGTAAGAATGAATCACATAGCAAGATTGCCGATAAATATGTATTTAGAAACAGCCTGGGATTTGGGCTGATAGTCATGCGGAGTCTACAAGGCCATTGAACTGTCCTGCTGGAGTTAGATCATGTTGGTTGCAATGGACAAAAACTCCAACCTATGTTAAAGGCAGATCATTTACAGGCTCACTTATTTAGGAGGTTAAGGAAGAACCGGATTGATGGGATGCTATTTCCGGGTGTGTGTGTGTGTGTGTGTGTGTGTGTGTGTGTGTGTGTGTGTTTGGCCACATTCCCAGATGGCCTTTCACCTTTTCACCCCAGGGGCAGAAATTGTACCTCTTTCCCAAGAATCCCAAAGTATGTCCCCAAATCACCTCTGATTGGCCTAGCTTGAGTCACAGCCAGTCTTTGCAAAGGGAATGCACGGCCTCGGTTGGCCAGGCCTGGATCACAGCCCCGCCCCCAGAGGCAGTGGGTGGAGTTAGCCACTTTGTACAGAAAGTACTTAGGAAGGGGTGAATCCCAGAAGGAAAATTGAGGCAGGTATGACCAGAAGATCTAAAAATGCTGAGTGTGATGGCACATGACAGGAATCTCAGCATGCCTGTAATCTCAGCCCTAAAGAGGCTGAGGCAAGAGGATCGCCACAAGTTTGAGGCCAGCCTGGACCACATAGCAAGACACTATTGAAAAAAAAAAAGTGCTAGAGGGGAAAAGACTCTCAGATGTGCTGTAGCTCAGGGAGCTTAAATGACTTTTTCCACTGTCACCCAGAAAAGAAGACCAGGGACAAGGCTGAGGTGTGATGGCACCCTGGGGCTAGATGAAGGGGACCAGGACAGAGCCATTAGTGTAGAGTGGCTCTTTGGAGGCCTGTGTCCTGTACCAGGGTCAGACCACGTAGCAGAAATCCCAACTCCATTACTGTGAGACATGGGGCAAGTCTCTCAAGCCTTAG